CTTGTAAATTAGATTATCTATTTTACTGTATATATTATTAAAAGTTCCTATAATTTTCATTTTTTATCAAAGATGTTTCTCCAAAACAAACATTTGTCTTAGTTGATTTTCAGTTAGAAATAAAAATTTAAATATTCTAATATAGTTCTGAATTAAAATTAAATTTATAGTAGATTCATTAAAAATAAATGTAATTTTTTGTTTTGATTATGCATATTTAGATTAATACTGATTACATTTATGAATGATTTTCAATTTGTAAGTTCAACAGTAGCTATACATTTCTTCAAAAACAAATAATAAAAATTTCATTTTTTATAAATGAATGAAAATATTAAATTTATAATAATTTGTAAAAATAAAAGTATCAATAGTATATAAAAAACGAAAAGTGTTTATTAAAATAACTTATTTTAATTCTCATAAACCAACCCAAAATAGTTTTGAATTAATATAAAAAATAAAGCGTACATATATATGTGTAATTGTGCATGTGCGCCGCTAAAATAAAAATAAAAATAGATGCACGAAAAAAAATTAAGTTATATATAAATAAATAAATATATATATATATATATATATTCTATATATTCTATATATTCTATATATATTCTATGCTAAAGTTATATCTTAAATTCAAGTATGTAGTTTGAAAGAAAACTGCATTAGTGCAACAGTAGTTAAATGAAGCTTCTAGAATCAAAACATGTAAGTTACAAACATTTTAATTCAGACATCTAATAAGCTACTATATTTATGTACATTAAATTGAAAGATATGAAGTAAAGCCCATAATAGTAAATAACTAAAAGGCTGTTAATAAACATCTTCGATTTGCTTGAAAGGATTCCTAAAAATATGAGTGACAAAACAAAAATTATTTTTAGAAATAAATACTTTAAAAGTACAATTTTTAATTAAATATGCAACTCAACAAACTTGAAATCAAATAATCGAGAAAAGAGAGGTAATCAAGAGTAATTCAATCAAGACAACTAAAATAAAATAAAAATAATTAATGTGAACCCTATTTTTAAAATATAAGTAAACTATAATATCTAATAAACTAAAATATCTTTTATTACATAATTTTTTACATCAATACAAAGATTTTATGTAAAGTACTGTTTGATATTTACAAATATGGAACAATGTCAACAAGTACTCAAATCTTTCAAGATGATAGTAATTGCACTCCAACATAAGAAGATAGTAATTAGCTAAAGCATAAATGTGAAATATTTTCAAAAAAAACCCATACCTTAGAGATAGATAAAAAAATTTCAAAACTTATTATGCTATGATAACAAATTGTTGCAAATGATCCAACAAATCTATGACTTTGAAGGAAGTCAATAAGAGTAATATTAATATAACATTGAATTAGCTGTTTATTATCCATTGATTCAAAATCTGCAGAAATAAATAAAATAATAGAAAACAAAATTACATTACTTTTTTTAATTAAAACAATACTTATTCATTACAACTAAAATTTTTATAGTGTATTGTATTACATAGAATTTTTTTGAAATGGTATCATTTTTCCTAAATTTTATTTTGATTAAATGTTGAACTACACGTAGAATTATAAATTAAAAATTATAATTTATATATTTACAAAATTCATATCAACTTTAATAAACATGGAAAAAATTTATGATAAAATTATGTTAATATACTATATTTATAAAATAACAATAAAGATTCTTTCTCAAAATTTCTATATTCTTGTATGAAAAATATCTTTGGAATTATTAAATATTTCAAAAATATTTAATATAGATTTAAAATTTATTAATAGTTTATATTTATAAATTTAAAGTTATCTTCTGCAATGCATTCTTACACATGTATATAAAAGATGAACGTTAGTAATAATGAAAGATTCTTTAATGCGTGAAATTTCCCATAAACCACTTTATCGTTTGTATGCATTGTACTTTCTATATTGTTTATCATACCGCCACAATCGGTAATATCGAGCGCCAATTTCATAACAAACCATATTTATCGATTAAGATAAACTAGTTACTAATAAAAATATGGACAATTAGACCATTAGACTTAGACCTGTCAAATATCGTATAGCACCTCATTTTTTATCTTTGTAATGTAATTAACTACCCACCATTGTCGTTATTTAATACAGTGAAAGGATAATGTATCACAAAGTGGAGCTCTAGTACTTATCACATTTTCCTTTATTTACATAAAAATCTTACTTTTATTTTAAAGACATGTAATGGTGGATTTTAATTCTCATTTTTCTTTTTGTAATTCTCTTTTATTACTACGTATTTATCTAATAGCCATTATATAACATCATTATATTACTCTTAAGAGATTGTATTATACTATGAATATAAATTCTATTGGAATATATTATTTCACTCATCTATCATCTTTTCATCTTTGCTACATTTACAAATATATTATTATATCACTTTATAGTATATGATATATTAAAATATTAATTTACAAAATATCAGTTTTATAATAAAAAAATCTTTTTTGTTCAGTATTATTTTTTTTTTAATTACCAAATAAAATACTATTTTTACCATATTTCTTATTAATAATTATCTAATTTTTGAACTTTCATCATTGATAATTGAATAATCTTTTATTTGTAGAGAAAGGAAAGAGATTAGAATTAGTAAAAAAAAAAAGTATAGTTTTTTATAATAGGTTGTTTGGAATTCCAGCCACCAGAATTGTCCGAAAAACAAGGTAGTTGGATTAGGCCGTACCGCCGGTTTAATAGTGAAGAAGGGGGATTAGAAAGAGGTTAATTCATCAATTCAGTGTAAACATAATTGGTGTGGTGACTTTTATTTAAGGTTATGTTACATAGGTTGTTATTACCGGTCGTTGTGAGAATTGTTGAGCTAGTTGTAAATTTAACAGTTGGCAATAACTATAGAACGTCGTTCGGATGTGCAAGGCAAGACTGAGCAATATGGATTGTGTGGAATATCGAATAGATTCCCTCTTTTGTATAATAATTTATAAAAATTTATTATAATAATTGTATAATTTGAATAGTGCCCTCTTTTGCTGTCTGAAATCAATCAGCAGAAGGCTAACCGATGATGGCGCAATGCCGAGATATTAAATAAAATCGGTGCCCCTGCAGAAGCAAACCGAAACGCCGGTGTACTTCCGAAGATATCATCGAATGGACTCGACGCCTTCTTCTGCCGTATGAAAGATCAGAATCAAGCAGCGGAAAGCTAAAAACCGATAATGTCGGCGCCCTTTTCTGCCGTCTGAAAGATCAGAATCAAGCAGCAGAAGGCTAACCAATAATATCGGCGCAATGACGAAATAACAATAAATAATGTTGAACGGCTTGCTGGTGATACCAGACTATGTCGTCGCCCTCAATGCGGTCTGACTAGAATCAAGTTGCGGAGGGCGCACCGATAGCTGGCCAGCAATAAATAATAAATAATGTAAACAAACAAATATACCTTACACGAATTCCCGTAGACAGACGTGTAGAACTTTTAATTGTTGTGATTTGCACTATGTCACTTTGACTTACTCAACAATACTGATTTGCTTCGTCGAGTGTTGCCCCTTACGTGATTTCGTACATTTAGAGTTTATAATTTTTGGAAATTCTGTCAAGAATCTTTCTTTGTCGCTATGCGGATACGGTATCAGGCTTTTAAATTCACCGAGAATTTTCGTAGCGAATTATTCAATATTGCGAATTATAATGAATTTAAATTTAATGGAATCATATATTAAACAAAGCAATAAATTCTCATTGCTGGGTACTTCAATCCTGAACAAAGGTTAAGATTAAAGGAATAAAATTTAAATCATGACTGATATGATGACATATGATTAAATAAACTAAAAATGGTATTGTAATAAATTCTCATATACTATTCATTAAAATTCTTCTAATTCCTCATTCTTAATTATTTTGAATAATATTATTCATAAATAACAGAAATCGATACAGCAAAAAACAATTTTTAGAGGAGTGAAATAGGACTTATTATTTTTTAATCGAATCTGTGTACCTTTTTATACTATTGATAGAAAGTCGCGCAGACTTTCGAATACTGTAAACTAGAATAGATGATGCTTAAAATGTTTCATCTGCATTATAAATTGAAATGGAAGAACTTATGTTAAATTGAACGAAAAAAATAAAAAATTAAATTAAATTAAATTAAACTGCTCAAAGTAAACTCAAGATAGCTTTATGATTGTGCCTTTGACTCACATTTATACTAAACATTTATGCTAAAATAGTATATAGTTAATTAATGTTAAAAAATTCGTTTTAGTATATTGGCATACATTTCATTTTTTAAAAAATTTTAAAAATACTATTAAAATTTCAAACTTTTTAAATATTCTATAAGATGCATCGAATTGGATTAATAATTGATATAAATATTTTTATTTAATATTATTGTTAATATTTAAAACATATATAATAAAATATGATTCAATTTTTTATGTATCAAAGGAATAGGTTTTTAAAAAATACGAGAATATTTTAAGTTTTCTTAAAATATTTTTATTATATGAACAATAATATAATAGGGTTGACAAAAATGATCTTCCTCATTCAGACTCGTCATATTTTATTCATTAGGAAAAAGACAATACGATAAAAGAAAAAAAAGAAGAGATAGAAAAACAATCGAGAGAAGAAAGGTACATAAACAAATTAAGAAGAAAAGAAATTAAGCGAAAGAAAATTGATGTGATAAATATTTAATTATTGATTGATTTTACTACTTGTATAGAAAAATTATTTTATAACAAACTGACAAAAATATTCCAACCTCTTATTTTATTAATCGAAGAATTATTTTTTTATTTAAAAAATAAATGAAGATTAAATGTAAAAAAAAAATTTAGTCAAAATGACGAATCTGTTATTAATTTAAGATCAACAATAAGAAAGGCGAGAATGTGTGTGTGTGTGTGTGTGTATATATGCAAATATGTTATATATATCCTTGTTCTTATTTTTCGCTAAATATTTATGTGTACTTATGTTACGTATATATATATGGGTTGTACACAAATAATATTCACTTGAAGCACGCTAAAAACGTCGTTCTTTTATTTTTTAATCGAATATTTGTCCTTTAATATAATCTTTTATAAATACCGACAATTCATATTTCGTGAGGACAATTTTCGTTTTTATTGTTTTTTAAGAATTTTCATTTATTTAATAGTTTTGTTTATTAAAATAGGTTGATCAAATAGCGATGTATCAAAACAAATAGGCTAATCGTCATCATCCTCTCCCTTACCAGTAAGCATGTTAATAAGCGACTCAATGTCAATGAAGCCCTTGTCATCGATGTACATGTGATCATACGCATCATTAACTTCCCTCGCAGTAAATTTTTCACCCCAAGTCATCAACGCATGCCTCAGTCTGAAGAAAATATATTCATTATTTGTTTTAAAGATATCAAACATATACTATACATATTAAATATATAAGTAAGCATCTTCACTTTTCTTAAAGTTTTCATCAAATACAATAAAATGACATAATATAATTATAATTCAAAATTCAAATGACTAAAAATACAATAATACAGTTTATCATAAAAATAATATTACTTATTAGTTGAATATTAAATAAATATATCAAACCTATTTTGTATTACTAAGTTAATATTATAAAATAAATCACTGTAAAATATTTAAAATTAATAATAGAACAATAAAAAATATTTATGTGAAAAGGCATGAACAAATTAATACAACATTAATCAATAAGAACAACATTGATAAAATAAATATTTTACTAAAGGTTTAATTAATAAAATAAAAAATGTTATAATAAAATATTATCTATTAACAGATAGGATATTAAATAATTACAATTAATATTAGATAAGCAACACAAACTCTAGTAGTCAATATCAGTATATAGTGCAACTAGAATAAAATTAAATAGGTTTATGATAAAATTACACTGCTTTCCTACTATATAAATTTTAATGATAATATTTAAGTACAAATAACAGTAAAAGGAAAAGATAATTAAATTATTGTGTATCATGAAAATATTGAGTTATATAAAATTTAAAATAAATAATTTTAATCTTTAAAAATAGCTTTGTTACTCTTACCTCTCTCCATCAATCTTGCCATTACCAACATCAAAGGTATTAAAAGCCTTAATTACAACATCATCGTCGTCAGCACCTGAAAGAAATAATACACTAATAAATACACAAATATATGAATTTAAAGGAACTAGCCAATTAAAATTTTAATTGAATTTATCTAAAATAAATCTAATATAAAAAATTTGTATAAAATACTTATTTATTAAATATATTTATTAAATATACTTATAAAATATTCAAATAAAACCATTAATAACATTATTTGAAGTTAATGAATAATGAACAAAAAATCTTAATTAATGAAACTATTTTTATATTTTCGATATTGATTTAATATACATTTTATTAAAAATTCTCAAGTGCTGTAGATAATAAAAATAATTTCAAGTTGAATGAATTGAAAAGATTATGAATTATAAATACATCACACATTTAATATTAACAAGAAAAATATTTGTTATTTGAAAAATTTATTATAACTAATGCATATTTTTGATTGATGAAGAGAAGTAAGATAATGACCAACATGATATAAAGAATACCAATTTTTATATTAAAAAGCTAATATATAAATGAAAAAATATATACAAAATTTTAATCTTACCACCTCCTTGCATACGTGAAGCAAAAAGTTGCAATAATTGAGTGAAATTAATGGGTCCAGCGCATTCACCAACCATTTCATCCAGCTCTTTGTCGGTAACAAGACGACCAACTTGATCAAAAATGAAACGAAGGTCCTCTCGATTAAGGATACCGTCCTTATCATGGTCCATGAGTTGAAAGGCCTATAATGTTTCAAATGTAATCTACTATTTCATTTTGGTACAGAATAAAACTATGCAGTAATTATGAAATTAGGAGTTAAATAAAATTTAATCTATTAATAAAAAAAAACATGGAATAAGTAGAGTTAATATATATACATTAGTATAAATTTAAGATATATTATAATAACTTAACATAAATATTTGAATATTCTTAAGTATATATTAAAAATTTACTAGTTTATTTTCATTATTTTAAAGCAAATTTTTCATAATTTTATTTCAAATACAATGTTAGATTAATAATATATATAAAACAAAAGTTATCTTTTTTATTTTATATATAAAAAAGATAAATTATTCATAACTTGTTAGTTAGCTGACCTCTTTGAATTCGGCAACTTGCTTCTGTGTGAACATAGAGAAGACACTGGATCCAGTGCGTTTGGCTTTTCGGCTACCGCGACTAGCTCTGGATGAACCAGACGGTGATTTTGGTGTTTCAGATTTTGGTGGAGTTGGTTGTTTCTCTGGAGTGGGTTCAGCTTCAGGGGTTGGTGCTGTTTCTTCCTTTTTACCATCATCTTTCTTTTTAGGTTTCTTCTTCTTTTCTTTATCTGCCTGTTTGTTACAACGTTTTGAGATTTATTTTTTCAATAACGTTTAAAGTGATTTTATTTAATCATATCTAATAAATTATTAAGAAAGAACAGTACAGTTAAAGACAAGTAGTTATTATAATAAATTATAAATGATATAATAATTTTATTTCATTTTAATGCTATTATTATAATGTAATAAAGCAAATTTATTGAAAATATATTAAGAGTCGAAATTTTTATTTTTTTTGTAAATTAAATCTCAGTATATAAGAATTTTTAATGTTTTTTAAAAACAAAGTCAACTAAAATATAAAATAATTCGGAACTAAAAAAAATTATAATAAGGCCAACATATTGATTTACATATATGAAATCATATCATTTATTTATATTTTATTATTTATGCACTTTTTAGATTAATTTAAAAAATTCTTTTATTTATAAATAAAGCTTATATATAAACTTTGGTGAAATGTTATAAAAATATGTTTATATTTTAATTGACATAATTCACTTCAAATATTATAATGTAAAAGAAATTTCGATTAAAACAATTGTTTTAAAATAAATACTATTGTCATATAATTTAAAATTATTTAAAAATAATCCTCTTATAAAGAACATTAAGGTTTTCTTCAAATCGCCAAATTTATATTATAATCTTAAATTTTTGTTACTTTCTAAAACGAAATGATTTATTCTTATAACAAAAAAGGATGAAGAACATTATTGGACAATATTTTGATTTCTTGATCGTATGTATATTATTATCTCAACTAACATGATGATTTGTTATGTATTAATACATAATTGCGAACAAAAACCGATCAAAACAATTTTTATAACTTAAGTGATAAAGACGATAACCATAGTAAATCTTGTCGAAGAAAACGAAATGTAAGAATATATACAAAATTAAATACTTTCCACCTTCTTTTTTTAATTCTTATTTAGTTTCTTGTTCGCGCTAGCAGCTATTATTAGGCTCGCCTTCTTACTAGGTGTTTCCGACCTGTCCGAGACGTATATAGACCGATATGCACCTCCTTTCATTTTACCACAAACCGTGCTGACGACTGAATATTTTCACGAGCTCATCAGACGATCTAAGAAGAGCTCAACCTCTCAAGTTACTGCTCTGTTCTTATTACATAATCACTTCACATTCGCCTGCGTAAATAACTATCAAAGGTTCTGTTATAGGGGTGTAGACTGATTTTGTTAAATTTCATTTTGTATTTTATATAAATCAATCATTTTAATATATCATTATTTTCATTACTAAAATCATTGCTTACATTAGGTATTTACGTGATTCGTGAAATTTTCATTTAAATATCTTGAATTATCATTAGAGATTCAAATAAGATAATATTGATTATGAACATATCAATTCACTTATCAATTTCAACAGTTTTTCTGATTCTGATATTATTTAAAATAATTTTAATTTATTCAAATGAACTCATAAATACGTTTAGAATTTGTTATGTATATGCTATAATATTTTCATAATAATATAAAAGTTCCATAGTTAAACATTTCAAAATCAGTTTAAGTTATATAACTGAGCTATAGACAAATATTTAATTTCAACATGTAAATGTAATACAGTAGATTTAAGTACTTTCTTTTATAGCATATATATTCTTTACATATTTAAATAATTCATTTTTTTAATAAATTTTTATTTATTAGTAAATAATAACCAATAATAAGATATAATTACGAAATACAATAAAATAATAATAAAATAAAAGAAAAAAATATTACTTATATATTTATTTATAAACTTAAGCCTTAACTTTTATTATTTAATATAAATATTTTACATGTAAATGGCTATATGTAAACATTATTGGCTAATAAATAATATTTGAAAAAATATGTAAAATTAAAATTTTTTTATAAAAATATTTTTATATATTTAAAGTACTGTATCAATTCAATTATTTATATAAATAAATAAGTAAATATTATATTTATAATAAATTAATAATGTAATAGACATTTAAAAATGATTTGAACGTAATCAAATAAAACTTAATAAAAAACAATAAAATGTTTTGAAAAAATAAAACTTGTTTTCTAAATGTATTTATATTTCTATTAAAAGTTTGATTTAAAATTTGATTTATTACAAGTTTTGAATTTGTTTCTAATTTTATATATCTCTGTGAAAATAATTGTAAGATTACTTTTAAAATTGCTTTCTAAAAAAAACATTTTCTTTTAAATAACTTTATATTTTTTATTTTTTATCAAATGAAAAGTATTATGAAATATATTTCAACTTCATTTAGAATATAATTGACCATAAAATTGTATTCTTCTAATTTATTTTATTAACTTTAATGAATGACTATTACAGTATCATAATGTTTTTCTTTTATTTATTTTATAAAGTTACATATACTAAAATATTTTATGCAAGAAATTCTGATAGACAGCACCAAGAAAATGATCTAATTAATTATATAAATATGTAAGAAGAAATATCAATTATTTTATTGTGTCGTCTTGTTCAATTTTCGCATGGAATCAAATAACAAGTATTTTAATTGTCACTTGCAATTATGATTGACAAATCCATTCACCAAAAGCCTTATAAATTGATTATTATCTAAACTACCACTTCACTTTGCCTTTTGGTTTCACATTTCAATCACGTTACTGGATGTTTTAAAGAGTAATTTTTAGTCCAATGTTCTGATAGAATATTTTCATTTATTTCACTAAATTAATGACTTAATTTGTTTTTAATTCATTGAAATAAAAAAATATATTATTAAGAATTAAAGTTTTGGTAAGGTTTTAAATTTTATAATTTCAAAATTTTTTTTAAAATTCTTATATTAGCTGAATTTTATTTATAAAAGTGTTTTATTTAAATTAAGAATATTTATGAAATTCAATTTTCTAAAAATGTTTGCAATAACATTTACAATTTCAAGAAAATTAAAATAAATATGTAAACAGTTTATATACATGTAAAATCGTTATAAATGTTCTACACTAATATGTGAATAATAATTTTCCAGTATCATTTATTTACAAACCGAAAAGTTTTTAAATTATCAAATTATTTTAATAAATTTAGAAACAATAATAAATAATAGGAGAATCGACGAAGTTGTAAAGAAATTTAAAACCTATTTTCCATCGATGAATTTAATCTTCCACACTTACCATCTTTACGGTTAGTTCTTTGTATGAAAAAAGTATAAGAAAAATAACTATCGAGATGATTACGGAGAACCAACTGTCCGAAACATAGAAGTGAACATGTTAAGTAAGTTTCGAGATGCAGCTTATCCCCTCCATTTGGCCAAGTGGAAAACACGATATGGGATGGCCACAATGTAAAAAAGAGGTGGTAAAGAAAGAAGAGGAGGAAAACGTGTCTGATGCAGATGAAAGATTGAGTCGAAAGAGCTAGACGAAGACATAGCTAAATAAAAGGGGTGACTGTAGAACTGCGGGAATATTTCGTGGAGTCAACACCAAGCCAGTTCTGACCATATTTAGTGCGAGTTGCCACCGAAATAGCGGACGTAGCCTAGGCAAAGCTATCAAGCAAATGTAGCAGCTCCACAAAGATCTTGAGAACATTTCTGAAATTTAATAACTAAAGGCGATCGACAGTTACAGAAGTTTTTATTTAACATATTTTCAAAATAATTTTTTCAATGTTGCAATGTACTCCATAGAGAAAACTCCTGACTTTGTGAAATTGTTTTTTTTTTGTTTACATTATAATATAAGATCATATTTTTTATATTACATAATATGTTAGAATATATTATGAACACTGTATAAGAAGTATTTAAATAAAAAAGAATATATTTACAACACCTGTTACTTAGTATATTATTTATTTTTTAATAAAACAAAGAAGTTGTGAAACACAAGAATGTCTTCTAATTTATTATAAAAAATAATAGCATTTTGTATTTAAATTATAAGTAATTTAAATTTACATAAAACTAATATTTATAAAATATAGTCTAAAAAAATTACTTTATAGAAATTTGTTATAAATTTAATAAATAATATCTCACATATTATATTAAAATATATCATGAAAGCTCAAAATGTAAAACAAGCATTATAAATTAAATTTGCAGCTACAAAAAAGTTGTGTTAAAATTTAGAAAATAAAATTTATTCATACAGGTTTCTTATTTTCAAGAATCTTTAATTTTATGTGTTTTTAATAAAATATATAATATGCTAAATTATAGGTAATAAATATGTCCAATTATTTAAGTAATGTTATGTATAAGAATATTACTTTTTTATTTTTCCAAAATCATTGAAAAACAAAAATAACATTACCCATAACATATGATCTAAATTTAAAATAAAAAATGAATGTACCAACTATTAAAAACAAGTACAGTGTACAAATCGTTCTTTCCCAAGTTCTATAAATAATTTTCTATAAGTAATATTCTAATGTATTAAAGAAGAAGTAAATTTTATATAATAGATATTTTTATTAAATTAAACTGATTAGTGATTAGAATTCAATCAATTTAGAAAATATAATTTAAAGAAAATTTAAATATAGTTTGGAATTAAAGAAGAAAAATAAATATAATTTAAGATTCACAAAAGTTTATTATATAAAAATGTCTATTGTTTGAAATGAAGTATATATATTATTAAAATTATGTAGTATATTAAAATATACGTAGGAAAGTAAAATTCTAAAAATTAATTATGAAAAAAAAAATGAACCAAAAATATATTCATATATAAAAAGAAGGTATTATTATATAATGAGAATGAAATTGAATTTATACAAATTTCAATATTAATTTATGAATATTAATAATTGAATGTGATAAAAATATTAAAAGAAAAATAGATTATTTTTATATTTTAATAATGCTTACTATATAAAAACTTGACAATCTTTATTGTCATATAAGAGAACTATAATAATGAAATAGTTTTCGAAAATTTTTAATGAGATTTGTTTACTATTTTTATATAGTGTTTTCATTTTAATTTCGGTTTTAATATTTGTTTAATAAGTATAATAGGTTAGAACAGCTGGAATAATTAAATTTATTTTACATCTTCACGCATATTAATTAATTATTTGAACATTTTATAAAGATCTAATAAAAGTTTAAAAATGTACATATAAAAAATTGAGATTAATGAATATGATTGATATAAGCAAAACATCTAGAGAGAAATAAAATAACGATTTATTCTTTAGACTTTTATTCTTATAACAGTCATAATCTAACTATAATGGTAATTTATACTTTTAAGTCAATAAACTTATATAAATTATTTACATAATAATATCAATCTTCGTTGTTAGATTGCATTATAGTTCGCTTTAAAAATATAAAATATCTTGAAATCTGTAATACTGAATAGTAGGTTATAAAACCAATCAACTTCTACATATTGGTATATAAAAACATAAATTTTTACCTTTAACTGCATATATTGTACTTTACACGCATAAAGTTTTATTTTTACAATCTCATGATATTTTGTTAAAAAGTATTTTATATATTTTATAATAATACCTTTATATATATATATGAAACTTTTACTATTACCAAGTTTAGAAATAACGGTTCCTTTCAATAATTCATTATTAGTTTTAAGCGTGTTTTTTATGTTATTTGTTTAATTAATAATTTATAATATTTTAATGTCATATTTTTAATAATCACAGTATCGAATTTTCAAATTCTGTGATGGTGTACATATATCTCTAAAGCTAAAGAGTAAGATATTCGAAATCTATATTTAGGTAATGTTGTCTAGTAAATAGATGTATCAATATTATCATTATTTACATTACAATTTTCGTATAGTTAAATCGATTTTTCTATATTCTTCTCATTTAATGCAGTGATCTATAGAATAATATTTACATACTTCGAAGTGTATTTAAATTCTTCAAATACTAAAATTGTTAGGAAAAAAATGTTTAAGTCATAAAAGACTTTTTTCTATTAAAGTTAGTTTCTATTTAAGCATTTGCACTCCTTAAGTAAAAATTTAACTTTGTATATTATATATTCATATTTTTTACTTTTCTTAAATGTCTATCATCGGTCTTCTCAATATTCGTAATATACAATCAAAAGTGATATATTATAAATTACCTCTTATTTTAGAATATTTTATACTAATACTTGTTTTAAAAGTTCAGATGATCGGTACCATAATTGAATATGAGAATATTTAATATAGTGATAAAGACTTTTAATCCTCATAAAAGTTAGTATTTTTAATAGACTAATTGAGTTTAGAGGAATCGTTACACAGGCATTGATGAAGTCTAGAGCAATGTCACTTTTTTCATGCAGTTAAGGACTTCAAAGAGAATACAATCATTAATCATTATATCGTTATTTATAAAAGCTCACTCGTAAAAATGTTTATTACTTATTGTAGAGCTCTTTGCTATTGCACATAACAATAATTTAATATGTGATATTAAATATTAATTACGAATTTTTAACAATATGGATTTCTTTTGGGAATAAAAATTATGTATCTGATAAATATTTTACTTTATACAGAAAACAGTACATCTTGAAGAACATTTAAAATTACACACAGAATAGTATATGATATTAATAAGAACTTTAAGAAAAAGTATGCCGATATATTTAACATTTTATTTAAACATCGAAGTTCCATTAGGATCAATGAATAATTACATTTGACTAGATATGTTATTTGAACTAAACATTATTCGTTAAGAATCACTTCACTTATTTGTTTATTTTTATCGATTATTTTATTTAATAATTAAATTTTAATTTAGAATAAATATTTTTTCATTTTTTGATATCATATTATATTATTTAATTGTTTTATTTTTGTAGTTATTAATTTCAAATATAGAACCTATATTACTCATTTATTCTGATATCTTAAATAAAAAAATTAACAATTTATACTTATTATTCACATGCATCAATCTATTTCTAATCAAAAGCATTGTATTTAATATTTATATAAACTACATTCGAATATTTTTTTATTTAATTTTGAAAACCTTAAGGGTAGTTTCTATTTGAATAAAGAATATCGATTTACTCATTACAATACTGTAATAATGTAATATATTAATAATTAATTTTAAAAAATTAAAAAAAATTAGATTAAAAAAAAGCTGTGTCATAGCTTAACATATGTACTAAACTTCTAATTTAAATCTTAAAAAATATGGAGATAATACAAAATCTAAAAAATCAATATATAATTGATAGTTTATATATAAAGATACTTAAGCATAAGAATAGAAACAAATATTATAAAAATAAAACATAAAATAAAAATTAATTGTTAATAATTTCAGTGTTATTATGGAAAATTAAAATATTTTTTTATTAATACAAAATTACAATTATTACGTTAGATATGGCGAGAAATATATGTCGTTTTGGAAATTTTTGCAAATCTTATAGTCATAATTAGAATTTAATTTTACGAAATCTGGATCACAGCTTAGGTAATATATAATTTGTTAAAACAAATATTTTAAATTAAATTAAAAATATTAGAAGAATGAAATGCATAGATTTAAGCATTTATTTATTTTATCTGTACTCTTTTAATATTCCAATTCATTTTTAATATAAAAATGAAAAAATTATTCCTGAAAATTTAAAATCCCTAAATAAATTATTAAAAATTCCAATTTAAATGAATTAATTTAATTGCCTAAAATCCTGTAAAAAGTAATATTATTAAGAAAACTAATTTTACTACTATTCTAATGAAAATTAAAGGAAGATTGAGGGTAAACTACAAATATAGAAACTTAGTATGGCTGGATCAGTCTATACATTCAAGACAAATAGAAATTTAATAAAATAGAAACAGTACTCCGCAATTGTTTAAAGAATTGCTTAAATAATTCGATGAAAAAAAGAAGCAAGTTTTTGAATTTAACTTCTACGAAGACGAATTAAAGCTGAAAGCAATGACCATTAATTTAATAAAGAATGTAAATTGATAAGCTATTTATAATAAAAAATTAATAAAAGTAAATTATATAAATTAAATTGTAAATAATGTAAATTGTGTTGTAATAAATGTCTATCAACTTTAAAATATACAACAATTGTGGAACAAACAAAATCGATGAAATATTTTAAATCACATATAAATAAATTTAATAGCAAAAGTATGTAAGCTACTAAACACACGTATACCATATAGTATGTTAATTAGACTACTTCAAAAAATATAAATACAAATCAAAATAATTTGAAGCCCGTTATTCGCGTTGAAAGAAATA